CCGCCCTCCGAAAGAAGAGCACCGCGCACAGGTGGGGGCAAGCAACCGCCTCTAAAGCTGGGAGCCGCATTACAGAACGGGGTAATGACTCTTGCAAACGAAGTGCTGTGTTGTGCTAGAAGCGTCCGCGGGGCAAGGTTTTCTAAATGGCTGCCTTGGAAAGTGAGAGCCCTCTACGTGTTCTCAAGGCTGCAGCTTGACACGTTTCATCGTCATTAATGCTATAAAAATTACGACCAATCTAAACGTCATGTAAAATGCATCTTTTCTCTCAGCATAACGGATGAATGCAAACTTTCACGATATCTTTTTTCCCAGTGCTCCATAAAATTATTTTATTCGTTAAGTGCCATCTAATGTATATTTCTTCCTCTGGGACTTTTTATACGAGTTCTTAAATGATTCTTATATTGTTTTGTCTTTAATACGTGTATTGTATTGTACCAAAGAAAACATGAAAACTATTGAATGTTGAAAGTAGCTGAGAGATGAGAAATTACCTTCAACGGTGCAATCCAAGGAGTAAGACATTAGTTTACATTACTTAGAACCACAGCTTGGCTGTGGCTGTTTTGACTACGTCAAATAATTAACTGATATGCGTATACAAATCTCCGTTTTATGGGAGCGAGGAAAGGAAAAGCGGGTGAAAATGAGTAAGCCCGTTATAAAGTTTGTACAAAAAGCATGACTATTCATATACATAAACAAAAGGTGTACATACATACAAACATATAAACAAATAACAATAATAAAAAAAGGAGTGGGAGGGCGCAGGAGGGGCGGGCCATGCGGGGCGGGAGAGGGCGTTAGGGGAGGGCGGTGTTACTGTTTGTACTGCGGCTCTCAGCGCCTGCCTTCTGGGCGGGCGGCGCGGGGAAGGGGTACGTCGCGGACGTTCTTCCCCGCGGCGGCGCCGGGCGGCGCTGGCGTCGGCGGCGCCGGCGGCGCGCGGGGTGCCGAGGTGTCGGTCGTCACGTGTGCCAGGGGAGCACGCGGCACGCGCCGCTCAGTCCCAGCCGTGATGCTCGTGGTGGCCGTGCTGGATGGGCACCCACACCTTCTCCCACACCGGCTTCCACACCTTCTTCCACTCGGGCACCTGGATCTGCTTCCACTCGGGCACGGAGCTCTGCTTCCACTCCTCCTTCCAGACCAGCTTCTTGTCCGGGACCCAGATCTGCTTCTTGTCCGTCTTCCAGATCTGCACCCACTCCTCCTTCCAGACCAGCTTCTTGCTCGGCACCCAGATCTGTTTCTTCTCGGTGCGCCAGATCTGCTTCCACTCGGTCTTCCATTCCAGCTTCTTGTCCGCTACCCAGATCTGTTTCTTCTCGGTCCTCCAGATCTGTTTCCATTCAGTCTTCCATTCCAGTTTCTTGTCAGGGATCCAAATCTGCTTCTTCTCGGTCCTCCAGATCTGCTTGTATTCGGTCTTCCACTCCAGTTTCTTCTCAGGAACCCAGATCAGTTTCTTATCTGTGCGCCAAATCTTCTTCCACTGAGGTTTCCACACGAGTTTCTTCTTCCACAGTCCGTGCGACGTGTATTCCCATCCGTGAGGATCGGTGCCGTGTGATTTCTCTCCGGGAACCCATATTTTTACCCACTCGGGCACCCAAATCTTTTTCCAATCGGGAACCTGAATTTCCTTCCAGACGGGTACTTTAATCTCCTTCCAAACTGGGACATTAATCTTCTTCCAGTCTGGTACCTGAATCTCCTTCCACGCAGGTACTTTGATTTCTTTCCAGACTGGGACATTAATCTTCTTCCAGTCAGGAACTTGAATCTCCTTCCATGCCGGGACCTTGATCTCCTTCCAAACAGGGACCTGGATAGTCTTCCAGTCTGGAACTTGGATCTCCTTCCACGCGGGAACCTGAATTTCCTTCCAGATAGGTTTCTGGATCTTCTTCCAGGCTGGTACCTTGATCTCCTTCCAGACAGGGACTTGAATCTCCTTCCAGACGGGGACCTGGATCTTCTTCCAGACCTGCTTCCAGACTAGCTTGGAAGCCGTCTTCCACACCTGCTTCCACTCCTCCTTCCACACGAGCTTCTTCTTCCACACGCCCTTGGGCTCATGGTGGTCGTGGTGGTCGGGCGGTCCGTATTGCTGGGCTGGCGGTCCGTATTGTTCAGGAGGCGGGCCATATTGGGCAGGAGGTGGTCCGTAGCCTCCGTCGAGTCTGAGAACAAAGCACAAGCCTTTATTGCTTCACGCTTCAACAACATACCACATTCTCTAGTGCTAAAGAGTGAGATAAAAACATTATTTCGATGAGCAGATTGGAAGTAAAGTGCTGAATGATATTTACCACAATAAAGTTCTCATCTAAAAGTGTGTGTGAATTTACAATTTTTCGAAAAGCTATTACGCATGAAATGTAATAGTAATATAGTACGGTTAATAAACGACGCACATATCCTAGGAAAAATGCGAACATACCTGTAATTTATTAAAATAATAATTCTCTTATTTATTTACTGTAATATTCTATATCCAAAATCTTGTACTGTAAAAATTATTTACGTAAAAATGAATTTAAAAATTACACGTTAAGGCCGCCATAGAGATAGTGTAAGAAAGGTTAAAGTTGTGTTCAATGGTGGCCCCTCAAACCATTGTGCATTATTTAGATGACGATATAAAGTTTTAGCTGTCAGAAGACTCTCCACGTGCCTTCTATTACGATCTATATTTGTTACGGTCTTACTATGGTTTCCAGTATATTAACTCATAACCTTCAAAAGCTTGCCTTTTGTAATAGAGGAAGAAACAAAAACACTGACCTCTCTATATTTTCCTTTTTCTTGTGAATATGTTTTTATTTATGCGTTCGTGTATCTCTGAAAGTGTGTGGGAGTTAAATACATTTGGTGTTGAATATGTCTATTCGCGCGTTTGTATGTGCATACTTTTGTACATGGGATCTTTTTTGTTCTTATGAGAGCATGTTCGCGTATGCACCTGGTTGCACGTACTTCTAGAGGTCTTATTTCATGTGAGCACGGGATAGCGCGGAGTGGTGTGTTTGTATTTGTGGCCTGCGTGCTAGCATGCATACGATTTTTTATGAGAGTGGTTGTGTATATGCAAGACGAGTTGGTGCCAGCTTTATGTCCATGTGTTCTGTTACGTGCTTAGGTGAGCGTACTTTTGTGTCCACGTTTATGTATGTAATTAAAGAGATGTACTTTGTATGTGCACGCCCGGTGCGTGCTTGTTAGAATGTTGCGTAATCGCGTATGCTACAGACTCGTGGACGATTACATTTTTTTGCACAACAAATCATAAGTATAAATATAATATAAAATGCCTAAAGATAATTACGTAGAAATTCTTTAATATTGGTTACGCAAGGAAAGTGAGTCAAGTGACATCTTTAACTTTGAGTAAAATTTGTTGGGAATTCTGTTCAAGGCTGTTTTAAATGTAAAGACCCGAGCCTCGCCGTCAACTTGGAAATGCTCTAGCAAAGCTAGTCAATGTAGCCATATCTAATTAACGATGTTTGCGCAAAGTGTATATGTCACAACTACCTTACAGCATACAACTGTTTGAAATCCCACCCATGCTACCATGAATGGCTTGAGATGTTTGCCGCCCACTCACCCGCGCTTGTCCCGTGCGGCGGCGCCGTCGGCCGGGGCGATGGGGTTCGCGAAGGCCGGCGCGGCGAACGCGGCCAGCGCCAGCCACACCTGCAACAGAGAGGAGGAGCTCCGTCAGATCAGCGCTCCGCTGCCGCCGCTGGGGTCGCCGCTCGGGGGACAACGCTGCAGCCGCAGCCGCCGCCGCCGCCGCCTGTGCCAGAGCCCGGGGCCCGGTGCCTCAAGCCGTTCCCAAAAGATCGACGTCGTGTATCGGTTATGAATGACAATTCGGTTATGGTTCTCTACTTTTCCATCCTTCGGGGCCTTCTACAGGTTTATGAACCTGTTGATACTATTGTAAGGAATTTTCCTGGACGAGTTTGAATATAGGTTTTAATTATGATTATGGATAATTATGAAATTTATTGAAGCAATATTAAATAACATATTTGTGCAATATTTTATTTGATTTTATAATAAACAATAATGATCTGACTTATATGGTTATTTAAAGATGTCATCTAATATTGAATCTTTAAAACAAACTATCGTAATCTGAGACTAATCTAACTCCAATACTGTCTCGTAATTCCATTTGATTTGGCAGCTTTGATTTGACATGTTTTATTATTTTATAGAAGACGTTGGAGATTATGATGAAGACTTATTCACCTTTGTACTGAATCTGCCTATTAACAGAGAAATATTAAACAATTGCATGAGGATAACATTTGAAGTGGCTGCTCAAATAGATTCTCAGAAGCTATCTTAATATTAATATTAATAAAAACTGTACAGAGAATAGAACGTTTCTTATCGCAGATTACCTCGCTCACGTGTTCACGCGCTCACGTGCTCACTTGCCATGGGCGAAAGATTTTTCGCACACGCTTTGCAATGTTTGGTACAGGCTTCGTAATCTTGAGGAAAAAAATAAAACAACCAAATGTTTGCATACGGAAACCAAGCACGCATTCCGCGCACGGCGTGTTCAGAAATATATCGAGGAGAGTATCCGGAAGGAACCGTGCAAAGTGGCTCAGGGCGTAACGCGCTGACTTTGCAGTTGGGAGGTCCAGGTTCCATCCATGTACCGGCCATCCTGACTGGGGTTACCGTAGTTTTCCTCAAATCTGACCGGCGAACTATGGGATGGCTCCAAAATGCCACGATCATCTCTCATCATATCAATTCACATGCTGGCATCTAACTGCTTTGAATATCCTCTTAGGGGGAACTCCAAGGAAAGCAAGCGATCTAAGTATTACTGCTACTACTAGGGGTATCAGGAAGGAAACGGCGCCCCTGTCCAATCCGCGCAGATGCTCTCCACCCGTAGCGAATGTTTACGTTCCTCGCTTCCTGCGCGGGAGGCAATTGTCTCAGGCTGACGCGCAGCCCGCCGGCCGGCCGCCGCCTCGCAACACCCCCGCGTAGGCGTCTGGGGCGAGGGCCGGCGGCGGAACGGCCCCGCTGCGTGCTTGCACCGGCGCTTTCGCCGCCGCCCCCTCCCCCCTGCCCCTCAACGGCTTTGTTTACATCGGGCGCCCCGCACTCCCACGATGCCTTTCCGGGCTCTTTGTCGGCCAAGAGCCTCTCCCGTGCGCGGAGGCAATTTGCATGCGGTTGGCCGGGCCCCGGATAAAAGATTCCAGAGGCGATGAAAGTTTCGAGGGCAGTGTCTCATTTGGGGGAGGGGTTACGAAATATGGAATCATACGCCCTTCCGCGATTTACCACATAGCTCAAAGTAATGCGTTGCGATATGTGTACGAGGAAAAGAGCGCATGTGCATGCGTGTGTGACCGGTTGAGTTGGCTCAGAGCGTCAACTGATGTCACTACAGTGCTTCGGACGGGGAGGCCGTAGGGTCTTTGACTGATACCAGGTGAATGCCGTAGATGTATAATAACATACGGCCAACGGACCGTGCGCGATCGTTCCCCGGCGACGCCTCGCTAGTGGGAGATTCCTGGCTGGGGAAAACCGTTCAAGCCGACGTGTAGGTAGGTGTTGAATTTTGCTATCAACCGGAGAGAACTCCTCTCACTCCCGAGATAAGAACATTAACTACACTTGCGGAACTAATGATCATGGCAGTTGACGCACCCAGAAACACGAAATAATCAACATATGATGTGAACGATGTTGTGCATATTATGTGAATATGTTCTTAATGTAGTTTCATTTACAAATTTTGGTCAGAAAATCAAGTTATCTGCAATATGCCCTTTTCTTTATTAATCACGTTTGAATGGACTTAATATGTTGTAATAGTGCCTTTTCAAAAGTCGTGCCGTCAAACATGTTTTCTTGAATTGTTTTCCCCTCTGTAATTCTCTACATGCGTATTGAAGGGAAGTTCAGGCGAGTCACGCGCTCCATTGTAATTGGAAGAACAATCTTAGTGAACATGTAGCAGGTCACGACGTTGACCTGACTCGGAATCAGTTACAACGACATTGGCAAAATGTGACTGAAGTCGGTTTCATGTTAGCGTGATCGAACTATGACAATAAACCTTTTGTTTTTTGCATTTATTGGTTTATAAGTAATCTTATCAAAGACTAGATCAGCCCATTATATATCTACGTCTAAACTCACGGGCTAATGGATGCCGGAAACCGGTCTTCCTCGCCTTACATGAATCCCATAGCCCTTGTCGTTTTAGTGTGTACTTTAGTGCGGCTCTTCTACTCATCGTGTTCATGTGTACCTAACTCGTTCGTCGACCTCCTTGGAATAAAGACGAGTTGGGAAAGTGGCTTTTGATTCCTGTCTTTCCTTTCATATAGGTACTGTACGGTATTTTGGATAAACAAAAGTAAAACCAGTGCTTTGTTTCGTTCTTAGATGAAATTGATTTATAGAAAGAAAACGAAAGCTCTGGGAAAGTTCGTTAGTGTGGTAACGTTTTCACTAAGTACTCACGCTGGCTGATAATGAGTTTCTAATGAACGATTTACGATCAAATTCATCCAAATAAATTGCTAGTGCACAACAACATTTTTAACGCCTCCCTCTTATTTTTCTTGCTTATTGTCCGCCCAAAATGTTAGCTCTCAGCGTGTGTGCACGACTTCTGTTCGATACCATTGACCTCGTTCACATGAGCGAGTTTGGAGGCGAATTTTCACGACTACCCTTCCGCTCGCTCTCAATCCGGTGCCCTTCACTGCCCACCTACAAACCAAACTACGCTGCGCCCGCCTGCTTGAACTCCCATCCACATGAACTTTCACCAGTCGTGTCTATAACATATGTTCATGATACCCTTTATTATATGGAAACTTGTTGGACCTGAGTAAACATTCCGCACATGCTACATTGTTGTTTTAAGAATGAACATAGCTTAGTACAGAATTTATCTTTAATTATTTCAGACGTTCCTTGGCACGGAGTCGGGGAGGTCAGAAAGCGCATTAGAACGTTTAAAATGATTTAGTTTTTATATTACTGCATAAAAAACATTACTCGGAACACGAAAACCGGGTTTTGAGGACTAAGGACGCGTAGTTGACTAGTTAATTACGATGGTAATATGTGTTGCAACGTAACACAGGATGCGGGCTACATGTATTCCTGCTATTTTATTTATATTATAATCTGCGAAGTTCGAAATTTTCTTTTTGATGCACCCTTGGTATGGCTTTCCATAATCGGCAGTAGCAGATTTACAAGATTTCCTGCCATTGGTGACTTTTAAATCGAAAATATATTTCCGTCATATTTCCTTAGAATAATGTACAGAAAGTATTCGAAGATTGTTTTAAACGAAGTATTATTCACGTTATATGAGTCTACCCCGAACACCCTTACAACTCAGCATCCGACCGTCCGATCCAATCCGACCATCCAACCCAACACAATCCGATCCGATCCAACCATCCGACCCGCTCCCTCCAGGCACGCCTTCGCCCGCCCGCCTGCCCGCGTGTCGCGCCCGCGCCGCCCCTTTCGGGCGCAGGGAGAAAGAGGCGCGCGCCGCTTTGTTAATCGCCGGGCGGCGCGCGCAGCGAGCGCTGAGGCGAGTGCTGGCCGGACGCGCGTGAGCGAGCGAGCGCGCACGCACGTGGCTGCGTGAGCGGAGAAAGACCGCGCTAACGACGGTGGCGCCGCGGAACGGCAGGGCGGGCACGACGGATCGGACACCGGCTTCGGCTTGCCAAACCGGAAAGCGAAAGTGGACGGGATGTTTTCCACATCCAGCGTTCTCTAGGATGTTCGTGCAGCATTTGTCCGAGTTCACGAAGTCTAATTGTCGTTGTCGTATGAAATCGGCAAGTTCGTGCTTCACTGTATGTTTTACAAGCGGAGTGTGTAATGAATCTCTAGGATACTCTGGCATTCGATAATGTCAGGGAGAGAAATCGCAAAGAGAATTATCGGTCGATCGTTCGAGTGAAAACATGTAAGGGGAGATTACGATATCAAATAAGTTGTGACAGCGGCAATGAATCTCGTGGAATCTCAATGAATCTCAGTTTCTCTTCCTTTACAAGTCTATTTCCGTTATGCCAGGTACTTTCAATTTTCATTGTCATGAAACGTTTTCAACTACTTACGTTGAGTAGGAGATACGAAGATATTTGTACATTCTACTTTCACAATTTATTACAAGAACTCTAAATTCACGTTTACTTTTGAGAGTACTAACGACAATTCACAAACTGTATCAAAACTGTGAACATTTTATTTTCCAAAGTTTAATATTTTACTACAGATTTAAATTGAAAGTTTTCAGAGGTTACTAAAGGTTTAGATTAGGAAAATTGTTTCAATCTTTCACTGAAAAACAATTAATCTTAGAATACTATGAAAACATTTATATATATTTCAGTATCCAAACCAAAATTCTTCGATTAATTAATAATTTTATTTGTGAAGTAAATAAAAAGCAATACATGTTCTGTCGCCTTCAAAATACATTGATCCTTACCCATAGATTAATTGTCGTTATTAGAGTAAGTGTTTTATGAATTATCAGAGTGATGCCATCTCACCAGATAAAAACGTGGAGAAGTATTAATCAGCTAAAAACAACCTTTATGTTTTTGCTGAGTCGGCAAATTTAATAATCAGCTGAAGATGGTTAGCCGGTAAACCCAGTTCGCTGACTGTGACCCGCAAGAAACGAACGGACGAAGCGCGCAGGTGCTGGACGGTTCAAAGGCATGCAAGAGAAAGCGCAACACTCGCGTCTTTTTTTTTGCGCATCTCTTTCCGCGCGATTGAGCGGATGCATTTCCATTTTCCACTCCACGGAGCGCTCATTACGAGATGCCGAAGCCATAACCTCCAGCAGGCCGCATATCTGCGAATCGCTCTCACGTCAATATCGCCGAGCCTCATCTGCTGCAACCGGTAATGAATTTGCGAGCGAAGCGCGCCACGCCGGGAGTTCGCCGCTCGCCAAATTGTTATTCGAATTTACGACGGGAGAAAGTGAGCGGAGAGGAAATAAATGTGTTTTATGGATGACTTACATACTTCCCTCTAGGAGAACGCTCAGTAATATTCCTCCAAAGGAATAGGCGCAGTTGTTTTTGTATTTCTACCTTTACGACTGAAAATTATTGCGTTGCAATTTATATCATTGCATATTCCATAACCAATTCAGAGTGGCTGTTATATTTTATTCAATACGGACAAGAAACTTTATCTGAAGTACCGAATGATTGTTAATTGAAAATGTTTGAATTTTTTAAATAAAGAAATAATTTTAGAGATATTTCAAAAGGAACTGAGGGTAAAAAAATAATAAGCTATTCTGCCAATAATGGAATTATTTTCGAATCATTTCAAAACTAAAACATCTCAATTTCAAGCAAGTATGTCATTCTAAGGTTCCAAAAACATTCCAAGGA